AGGATTCCAAGTTTGAGGTCAGCCTGAGCTACATAGTGAGACCTTATCTCAAAAAGAAATAAAAGCTGCACACTGGTGGCTGATGCCTGGAATCCTAGCTACTTAGGAGACTGAGATTAGGAGGATTATGGCTCAAGGCCAGGTGGACAAATAGTTCCTGAGACCCCATCTCTAGCAATAACCTGAGCAAAATGGACTCGGAGCATTGCTCAAGTGTAGAGATAAAATGATTAGGTAACATTCTGATTGGCAGAAGTTTCATTGTCTGAGTCAAGTAATATACATTGTTGGAAAGTGTCACTTCCTGACTTTTAGAACAATGCACTAATACTTTTGTCCATGCAAAGAATTGGTTCCTCTAAGTCCTAACTTTTATGCTTTCTCGTGAGATGGGTCTCTTATGGAAAGTAAGACTGGCCCCCTTCATCATTTCTTAGCGAAGCTTTCTTGGCTTGGGCTGCATGAGGGACTCGAGGTAGAGTTCAGGAATTTTTCACTCTGGAGGTTGTGTGTACCTTGGAAACATCAAGGAAGGATAAGAGCTGTACATTCTTTTCAGGAGAGGGAGAAAAGGAAAAACAGGAGACTCCTCAAGTAGGCCCAGTGCAAAAGAGTATGTGATCTGGCATGCTAGAAATGGCTCACCTCAGACATTTGCACCTAACTCTATAAGCCATTGTACTCAGTATGTAAATGGCATCATGGTTATATAGGAAACGTTTCCTTAGAGGACACAGGCCGAAGAAGGTAGGGATGAAATATCCTGTCTACAACTTAGATGTGTACCCCCTGCTGAGCATTTCAGTGTGTAGGCACAAAATACTAGCATTTGGTGAATCTAGGTGAAAGGCATACCAGTCCCTTTTTGTGAAGATTTCAAAGTTTACAAAATAAAATGTGTGGGGGTTAAGGAGTGTGTATTACATGCCCTCCAAACTGTGGGGCAGACCCCCCCCCAATAAAAGACTGATGATCTAAACACTATTTTAAATGTTTAAGTATTAGAACCAATAGGAAAGGATATGAAACCAAGACTTTATTCTCAACAGTTTATTCATGGAGGACACACTGCAAAGATTTCAGACTTCAGCTGGAACCCCAATGAGCCTTGGGTCATTTGCTCAGTGTCTGAAGATAACATCATGCAGATATGGCAAATGGTGAGCTGAAATGTTTTCCATCAGGACTATCTTTAAAGATTTACTAGTGACATAATGTAATAGAAATGCTTCATTATTTATGTGCATATCACATGAAAACACTTAAAAGGAAAGTTTTAAAGTATCGTAATAACATTTAGTTTAATGCTGGCACTTTGGCTTTCAGGTTGGGAGAAGTCTTTGCACATGTCTGTAAACTCAGATTCATAGCATCTGCTCTGAATTTTCATCGATGTTGTACTCTGTCCACTGGGGTCTTGACATCCCTGATGTGTCTCCAGTGTCTGTGCTATGCCACAGGGCATGAAGAATAAGGAAATGTCGAGGTGTTTAGATGGTACCGAGCTTTCTAATGAGGAGCAGTAAATACTTGACATTTCTAAGGTGCCGAGTTGACCAAGCCTTTCATAAATATGAGGGTCATCACTCCTTGTTCAGTGGTATTTACAATGCTTCCTGAAAACATTTGTGAAAACTTAGTATTAAGTGCATGGGAGGTATGTATGGGATTAATTTTTAAGAATAGCAGCCTGCAAGCTGGGCACAATAACTCATGCCTATAATCCTAGCTACTTAGGAGGTGTAAAGAGCAGGAGCATCATAAATTAAGGCCAACTCAGGCAAAAACATTTGCAAGGCCCCCATTTTAGCCAATAAAAAGCTTTTGTGGTGGCACACACCTGGTCATCTCAGCTATGTGAAAAGCATAAACAGGAGAATGGAAGTCCAGCCCCAGACATAACTGAGACTTTTACCTCAGGAAAACTAATGAAATCGAAAAGGGTTGGAGGCGTGGCTCAAGCTGTAGAGTGCCCGCCTAGCAAGTGCCAGTCCCTGAGTTCAAACCCCAGTACTACCACAACAGAAAAATACTAGTCTGCCTTTTTCCGTTTTGAAATCTTTAGTGGAAAATGCAAAAATAAAATTAGCCAACAAATTACTGTGAACATGTGTCACATTTAATTTACAACACTGAAACACATTGACAATCTCAAAAATCTGGATTTACAGATTAAATTCTATTTTTAGATGATTTTGTGAAAGAAAACCTTGATGTTTTATCTATGAATTTATTTGGTTGTCATCTCCAGGCTGAAAATATTTACAATGATGAAGAGTCAGATGTCACAACATCGGAACTTCAGGGACAAGGATCTTAAAACCCAAAGTATAAGATGTTTCTGTTGAATGTAATGCTACATGAATGCTTGATTTGTCAAGCGCCCAAAAGGCATTGTATAGTAGAAAATGTTAAGTGGGATGGCTTATGGCGTTCTTCACCCTCTGATTCTAGCACTTTCAAGTGAGCTGTTGCGTACTGTATCATATTGTAGCTATTAGGGATAAAAGGAATGTTGCTTAAGAAAGAACATCACCTTTGGTTTAAAATACAAGTTGCAGGGTACTGCCTTTGATTCAACTGTTTTAAGTCCTCATTTTCTCAAACTAAGTGCTTGCTCAAGTTCCCAAATATGCAAGGATAACTTTTTCACTTTTTCCTTCCAACACTTCTTGATTGGCTTTGCAGAAATAAAAGTTTTAAAATAAATTTTGTTTAATTTTTTCAGAAGCTGGGGGAGGGGGTGGATGTGTGTGCATGCCGTATCCCCTTTGAGTAGAAATGGATAAAAACTATACCTTTGGCCACATGGGTAACAAAAGATACACAGAAGCTGTTAAATTCATCATACATATTTACTTAATCTATACAGAATCGAGTAGATAAAATCAGATTCACATTAGTGAAAAATCTCTACAAAATGTCTTTGAAAAGCAAAACAAGACTGCCTCTTTAACAATTCAAATCCTCATGAAAGACGTGGGCTGTAAAAATAAAGCAGTGTGTTTAGCACAAACTAGAAGATATCTGCATCATTTTTTTCACAGTTATTTCCATCTACAGTCTGAAAGAGGTAGATTTTTCTGCAACACCTGAGAATTGAATTGTGATAACCAGGTGTAATAAAGGCAGTTGCATACATAACTGAAAAATACTGGTCAAGACCAAGAACTGTACTGCAAGTCTGAGGATGAGTCGGTTCATTAATCTGAGACCCAAGTTTTTGCTACACCTTGGGCATCTACTGCCACTATAAATAATATACATCAAGATTGTATGATGGTGCAACAAATGCAATTTATGAACATTTAATCCTTTTCTGGGCCAGCCTAAGTAGCATTACAGTGTTCTAAATATGGTAGGTATGGGCTTGCAACAAAGCCACAACACTGGGCTGGTGAGGTGATTGCTTTAGGGGAAGGGTGTTCTCAGAGGGAGGGTCCCATTTCTTTTTATTCACAGGGTAATAGGAGAGATTCTGAATGCATCCCAGACAGAATCCATATCCTTTGAACACCATGACAGCATCTAGCTAAAAATACACGTAAGCCAAAAGCAGCAGGCCAAGTACTGTTAATCACGTTGCTTTATAAAGCCCTTGAAAATATGCAACAGGTCCAGGATTTACAGTCTTCCACACAGAACAAGCAAGCACCACAAAGAAAAGTGGTGGGCTACACATGTGGCTTGATAAAATGTTAAGAGCTGTACATTCAGCAGAGTTCTTTAAAAATGTGATCATTAGTACTAATTTCAATGCAGATTCACTTCCTCTAGGGGAAGTGAGTCCAGTATTTGATGTAGTAGCTGAAAGGGGTTATTTGTAAGAGGCGGGTGGAGGGTGTTTTCACTTCTGACTACTTTGTGAATGTCTTTTTTTCCTCCACTGCCTTTACCCCTTGATTAACATGACTGATGGTGGAAGCTTAGATATAATCCTCCAATCCAGGCACTGTTTCCTGTCCATTGGAGATCCATTTTCGATTCTTTCAACCCAGTTTAGACCATGAACGTGACAGGACTTTACAAATAAAACTTTTAACAAAAACAGTTTATTAAATCCAGTAAGCAATTTAACAAGTGTCAGTTTGATAGTTTTGCTTGGTGGAATGTGCTAATGTCAGTTCTATTAGAGCCTTTTCCTTTCAAAGTATTTCAATCCAAATCATACCAAGGACAGTCAAGACGTTCACCAGTGCAGCCTGACTAGTCATTTGCATAACTGAGTCACGTTAAAGGAACGAGTTCAAAAGCTATGTGCTTAGTTTCAAAATCACCTGAATTCCAAGTGTAGAAACCTTGATACTGTTTGGTTCTATTCCCCGCCACTGCCCCTTTGGGGAACAAAAAAATGACAGAAACAAAGGACAGACTGAAAGCCTAAGTTACAGATCCTGACTACCTAACACTCCGTCAAGTTTTCCCAAAGTGTAAATGCTGGTTCCAGTGTTTCTGTTGTGGAAATGAAGTCAGTTTCAGTTAGTGCTGATCCATAATTTAAAGTCTAGAGTTCTTTGCTGGTAACTTTCTGTATGTGTAGTGTGGGGAATGGAACCCAAGGCAAGTCACTGAGCTACACACCCACGGCTGCTGGCACTCTTGGGACAATTGGACAACTTTCACACAGCCAGAGGAGTGGAGACACTTGCCTGGTAAAAGCTACACACAGGTTTACCCTTGTCTCAAATTGACAAGAGACTGCAAATGTGAACGGCAGTTTTCAAGAATAACCAGGTTTCTGTGGGAAGTGGAAAATAGATACCCAGATTGAAATGGAACGTAAACCACCACCATCCTCTACAGGAGCATCAGGTGGTCCAAATTCCACATGTGGGTTCTAACCTGAAATCAAAGCAGTATGACTGCTTTCAGCCACATAAACATTAAGCTCATTTGTCCAATGCTTTACCTGTATATACTACTTTATTCACAAGTGACATCATATATATATACATATATATATATATATATATATGTATATATATATATTCTGCCCAAACTTGGAAGTGAAGGCTTTCAGCCATCTTAATTTGTTAAGTGATATAGATATTATCAAAGCACTAACATGAATATGCTATGCTTGTTTCTGACCCAACACTATAGGGTTTTTTTTCTTGGCATTTAAATGGACTATTAGACAAAACTAATCGTCGTCGATAGGGGGCCAAGATGCTTAATTTTTTCACATCAGGGAGCCATCATGAGAAAAGTTCTTTTGTAATGGTTGGCCCTGTCTTGAGGGAAATTTCAAATAGGAAAATGATGTGCAAGGAGCAGGGAAGAGAAAGGACAAGGCAATGAACACATGCACGCCAACAAAGAAGGAAAATGAGGCAGATGTGCAACACAGCTGAGGGAAATTCATAGATTAAAACTATTCAAAACTGCTAAGCAGCCTCCTGTACCACGTAAATCCAGTAGTTCTAAGAAAATACAGATATGGTAGAAAAAGTAAGAAAATTTTCACCACAAAACCAATAGTTAACTACTAACAGAGTAAGTTATACACAAAATATATCTCTTAATACAGTGATCACACTTCACCTTAGTCAACTGACTCAATGCCTAGGGCAGACCCTGGGGACGGAGGCTTTTGTGCAGCACTTCTCTCATTTGCTGCCTTGGCCTCCAGGTGCACTCCTAGGGCTCCAGAGGAAGTGTTCAGCTCCTTGGGAGAATCCAGGGCAGCGCAGGGCCGCAGCGCAGACACCACAAAGTCCCCGTCAGTTGATTTGGCAGAGACCTGCTCTTTCAGGACCTCTACCTTCTCGTTGAGCTCATTTCTTTCCGTCTGAAGAGCCCTGCACAGCTTCTCTAACCGTTCCAGTTTTATTTGAAAGGCCTTATACTCTTTATCACGGACAGTTTTCTGTTGGAGAAAAATAGACAAGACTTTCATAACTTCATTAAATACAAATTCAGGTTATTGTTCACATGCAAAAAAGTAAGTGAGCTGAGCCATATTGGAAACTACTTGTTTTATCACCTATTGAGTACGCAGTTTCTTCAGACACCTAACACTCTAGTGAGCCAGCTTCACTGTGCACCTGTCTAAAGTATAGGAATGACACTCAGCATAATACTGTCAGGATGACAAAATTAAGTTCCCTTGGTCATGCTGGTTAAAAAACAAAAATCCACTTAACTTTCTAAAACATTTCATACTGATGAATTATAGTAAGTTCAAGGTGTCTGTCACAGAGACAAGCAAAAAAGGGCTTGATTAGAACATGGCTCATTTCTAGATTTCCACCAATTTTTAGGTAACAGCAAGATTCTTACATGTGCACCAACATTTTCTCTTGTAAAATGTCAAACTAGTCCTGTCATATTTCTGAAGATGTGAAATTTAGTGATTCCACACAATACATGTCACCTTATAAAACTGGCAAAAAGCACTCTGTTGCTTTTTTGAAGATTACATCACATAGAAAGAAAGGCACTTGTGGGTTTCAGCATCACTGGGAAATCCAGTCAGCATTTCTCAAGGTATGGACTGTGGCCTGCATCAGCGTTGCCTGAATGCTGCTTAGAAAAGCAGGTGCTCTGCCCCATCCCAGACCTAGTGAGTCAAAGCCTCTGGGTGGGGGCCTCGCAATCTTGGTCTTCCATCAGGAGTGTGGTACGAGCTCAAGTTTGAGAAACTATTGCTGGAGAAGAAGGGAGAAGATGCTATCTCCATCACAAATCTAGGGGAATGAACTGGGTTGGTAAATTCAGCTAGGCGCCAGTGACCTGTAAGTAATCCAAGCTAGCTGGGAGGCTGAGATTAGTAGGATCATACCTTAAGGCCACACTAGACAAATAGTTCAAGAGACCCCATCTCTAAAAACTAAGCAGAGTAAAACAGGACTGGAAGTGTAGCTCAAGCAGTAGAGTGACTGCTTTGCAAACGTGTAAGTCCTGAGTTCCTGCCCCAGTTCAACAACAACAAATCAAAAGAAAAAAAGCAGCTCAATCCCTCTGGGCCCTCCACCTCTACCTAATTGCCAGGAAAGACATCAAAGTCTACTTAGAAACTGTCACACCCAGTGTCCTGATAGATACCTGAATTTAGTGAGTCCCTATAACTAAGAACACACCTTAGTCTCGGGAAACCATCTCACCTCTTCAGCCATTTGTAGAAGTGCTTTATTATTGTTTTCCCACTTGGTACGCCATATAAGTGTTTCTTTTTCCAGTTTTTTAATTTTCTTTGTCATCTGTGAAGCAACACAATCATAAGTTTAAATTCTAAATTCCATTTCTTATCTCTACTCCCTATCCCACCACAAAAAAATGATTTAATATCACTTGCCCCCTGCACCAGCCTCACCAGCTCACAGCTGGGTATGCCTCTATAGAGGTAGCTGTGCCTGGGTGTTGCTGGCAGAGATTATCTCAGAAGCTCCTAGAGTGCAACAAAAATGAGGGTTTTATATGAGAAAAACAAGTTTAATCTGTTTTTGAGGCAGCAGCACGAGGAAGCTGTTAGATAGGTACCACACTGAACTCTCAAGTTAAGGCTGGAGTGCTGCTTTTTTTCCACGGTGGGGTGGGGGGGCGTTGCAAGAAACAAAAACCTGCTTTCCCCAAAGTTGTGTTAGAAAAATGTGATCGTGGGTTTTCTGCCCATTAAAACCAATTCCTCAGGACTGGAGGCGGGCTCAAGTGGTAGACTGCCTATCTAGCAAGCTCAAAGCCCCGAATTCAAACCCCAGTAGTGACCTCCACCGCCTACCCCCAAAAACTCAGATTCTTGGAAGGACAGACTTTCAGCCCCACAAAAGATTAAGAATTTGTATTCTGGCACAACCTGTAAAACCCCCATTAGTTAAGAATTAAAGGTGGCATAATTTAGTTAAGACTCAAGGGAAAAAGAAATTAGTTAACTCTGATTGTCTTCAGAACTTACAATAGACTATTTTACTCATATTTTGCTAAAAATAAAGTGGGTCCAAAATTACAGAAACATTCTTAAACCTCAGCTACAAGAACTCAAATTTTCAGAAATTCAGAGTGAGATTATCTATGCCTGTCAATTAGCCACATTCTCAATATTCCTTTACCCACTGATGACTGCACACCAGCCCTGATCCAAGTCAGGGCACTGAGCCAGGTGCTGTTAAGGGAAACAAGAGTAAGGCGGAGCCAGCGTCCTGGGTGTGGGTGAGGCGAACTGGGACAAAGGCCATGGAAAGCGCTCACAGAAGGTCTGGGTTGAGTGCAGAGCTACAATGATCTACAGCTTCACATTCCACAGGACTCTCCAGAAGGATAGCAAATTTGGGGAGTCCCTCTCTTGAACTCTGCTCCCCCTCGATTGGAGTCTCAACTAAAAAGACTGAAAGGCAAAACAAATCTGCTCATGGAATTCTCTGGATTACTAGTTCTAAAAATACCCGAAGGTGGTCATTTGACCTCTGTTCAGCTCATGGTAATTGAGTACATGTTAATGTACGCAGCACTATCTGAACTACTCTATTTTATGAAGGGCAGGTCTTTTAAAAAAAAAAAAAACATTTTTAAAGTGAAGGAACAGAAAGGCAAATTAAAGTCCACAGTCACATATGACCCAACTGGGACATAACACCAGTGTACTTATCTGCAACACTAATTTATAAACCCCTCAATTTAGCTGAGTACAGCTGAGGACCTGCTGTCCCAGCTGTCTGGGAGGCTGAGGTAGGAGGATTGCTTGAGCCCAGGAGTTCAAGGCCAGCCTAGACAACATAGTGAGACCCCGTCTCAAAAAAACAATTTAAAGGGAAGTTGACACATAAAATGATATGGATGGTTCTTGATAGCAAGGATATTGCTTTTCTTAATTCAGGCAGGAAATGCAAAAAAAGCCATAGAATTAGTTTGGTTAGTGGAGAAAGAATTCAGTAGGTCTGAGTCTAAAGTTTGAGGAGAAAAAAAAACAGGAAAGAACCTTTTGGACTAGGTTTGTGGCTCAAATGGTAGAGTGTTTGCCTAGCAAACGCAAGGCCCAGAGTTCAAGCTCCAGTACCTCAAAATAAATAAATAAATAAGATAAAAATAAAAGATTAAGTTTATAACACTTTTTTTAAGAAACACTGGTGTGTGTATCTCAACCAACAGAAATATATAATTACTCTTCTGAGTGTGGCTGTCTTTCAATAATTTAATCTCCAAGGACAGAATTTTGTGAAAGGATTGGGAATGACGGAAACAAAACCAACAAAACACAGAAAAGAAATACACCTTAATTCTAACAACAGACTACATTTCATAGAGGCATTCACTGTAACTAAGGGAGAATTAACTCTTAAGAGCTTAGAGATCATCAGCTACTTGGGGTGCATTGAGGGCAAAATGACTGAATACGCCCCTGAAGAATTCAAGATCAAAGGAAGACAGTCCCATAACAACATAACCTCAACCCAAGTAATAACTATGTGCTTGAAAAAGCTTATAGAAATCCCTTTTATATAAGTCTTCTAAAATGATGCAAATACCTTTTCCATTTCTTGCCTGAAAGTTGTAAATAGTTCATTGCTTTTTGCCATAGTAGTCTGAAATTCTTCAAACTTATCCATATAAAGAGAAAGCTACAGGAAAAAAAGGAAATAGATTCTGAGTTCCAGATAAACAATTCAAATTCCTAAACTTTCAAAAGAATACAATATGGTTAAGAATGAGATACTTGCTATAATTGACAGAAATAAGAACAAATGCACACCCAATCCTTCAGATACAGATGGTAAAGTTCTCTAACAACTCACAGGACTCCACTACCACTTAGGAGATTTTGTTTATAGTATTATGTTTAAAATGTACAAACAACTTAGCTCCAAACCATCAATTATAATAAAACTGAAGGAAGTTATAAATTTCATATACCTCTAATGCTTTATGAACCATCCACTATCCTTACACTTTAAAACAATTCTGGGGAAAAGATCATTCTTTTAGAATACCACCTACATAGTCCTTAGCTTGGTACTAAGGATATCTCTTTACTGAATGCAGGCAGAAAATGCAACAGAAGGCAAAGAATTGAAAGGGTTGGGGAGAAAGAATTTAGTGGGAGTATAGTTAAGAGAAAAGGAAAAACTAATGTAGAAATATCAATTTTTCTTTTAATTTCCACCTTTATGGAATCTATATTCAATCTAAGAAAAACCAACAAAGTAAACAATATAAAATGCAGTCACTTTTTCTCCCCCTTAGAACAGGCATTCAGAGACGTACAAGGGGGAGAAACAGCGTGACGGTCAGGAGAAAGGGAAAGCTTTAAGGGAGAAGAGACCTCGAGGGGAGGCTGAAGGACTTTTAGACTAAGAGGGAACCCTTCAGACATTACATTATTTTCAGGATGAGGAAACAGACCCAGTGTTTTATAGAAACAATCATAAAATACCCCTAAGAAAAGCAGAGTTCATCAGAGGCCAAGAAAGCAGATAAGCAGTGCTATAATAGCAATATTAAAACGGCACCACTGACAAGGATGTGGGGGCAGGTGGCAGAATATGATAGAAGCCAACCCGCCCACAGTTCCTGGGTGGGTGGGCCACACAGGAAGCACTTAAGAGCAGGCTCTGTTGTGTGGGGGAAGAAGCAAACTGAAAGCTCAGTTTCATTTAGGCCAGAAGAAATCACTGAAGACAGCTGAACTGACGCAAAATGCATAAGGGAGGAAGAACAGCAACAGAGATGCAGGGAACTGGAGAAGAGTGCAGAGGATTTAGCCGCAACTGGTGGAAAAGGCACACACTGACAATGGCTCTGAGGCCACTGGTCTACAGTCAGGGACAACAGTGGTGCTTAGGCTAAGTAAGGAGCAGTTCTAGCACTGAGAGACAATAAAAGCTTTGGCAGTTTCAGCAAGGCGGGTTCTAGCTGAGGATGGCACTGAGAGTTCAGTGTTGGCCCACACTGGCTAGTTACTAAGCGGCAACCATCACCTTGGACTTAGATGGCTGGATGGCAAAACAGCGGGCAGAGGCATAGCAGTAAGTCTGTGTGTCATTGGCAAATGCTGTGAAATGACATGCAAAGAGCAGAGAATGAGACCAACTCCTGGGAAGGATGGCCATGTTTAGGTAGCAGGAGAAGAGATGATGTGATGGCAAAGAAAACAGAATGATTAAGAGGCGTCATGGTGGTACAGACCACAGAAAATAGAGGCTGCAATGTACAACAGAATCAGAACTGGCCTATGGCTTTGGAAAAAGGGCCCTCCTTGTAACAACATCTGCAGCATTATCAGTAACTCTCAAATTCAAGAACATCATAGACTATTATAACAGGACACACCTTCAGGATCTGCAATGAAAAAGGAGGGGTTAAAAAACATCCCCACAGAACTACCCGGGAGTGGAACTATATGGTCATAACAGTTTTTAAAATAATCTGTGCTAGGCCAGCGGAGTGGCTCAAATGGTAGCCTAGCAAGTATGAGGCCCTGAGTTCAAACCTCAACACGGCAAAAAAGATATATAAATAAATAAAACGAAAATAATTAAAACGTGCTGACAGTACAACATACTAAAGATAATTAGGTTAAACTATATAGTCACCATTTTATTGGCCATTAACAGACATCTTCAATTTTCCTTTAGTAGGAAATTAGGTGACACGTGAAAACACAATGAAACAGTAGAAATATCTGTATCTGGGATCTTGGGAAGGGGAAGACATTGAAAATAGATGTCCTAGATGGTCTGAGATTTGTGGGTTGGGGAGGAGCTCCTAGTACACTGGTCTTTCAGTACTCAAACCAGACATCCTTAGCAAAGTTGGATGAGCTGGTCACCCTAAATGAAGAGGAAACTTCCAAGAAGAACGTGTGACCTCTTCCTCACTTTTGGTCAGCTCTGGCTAGAAATCACATTAGAGGACATTCAAGGTATGTATCAAATGAAACAGATTTTTCTTACAAATTCTGCTATCCCTTGCTGTCAAGTTACCTGCTGTTTTAGTTGTACTTCTTGCTGTTTCATTTGTTCGTATTTGTGCCTGGATTCTGTTGCTTCTTTTAATAACTAGAAAACAGAAACATTCTGGCAAAATACTAGCAGTAATTACAAATAGGAATACAATGTTGGTGACCATATAGTTATTCTTCATCCTTCTGCTATTTTAGCAAGAACCACTGGTCTCCAAGTGGAACATTTTGTTCCATCAGTTACCATTTACCTGTATCTTCATTCATTCCATTTGTTAACACTTAGGGAACACTTAGAGATGTAGGAAGAATCTTTTACTGCTTAGGTAGAAAAAGTACCCTGCAGGCCTAAAAAGATTAACAAAACTCAGGAATCAATTGTGCTTTAGGTAAAAATAATTACATGTGTATTAGGAGGAAACATAGCCAGGAAACTCAACATTATTTGCACGACTGAGAAAGCCCCTCTACTCCAAGAGGCAGGATAAGACCTAGCAAAAGGGTGTGGAGCAAAGTAATGAAATCTGAGAACTGGTTTCTGAATACATTTTCTAAAAAGCAGAGGAGGAAGGAATAGGGCTTTCATTTATATACTTGCATTTCAAGAAAATTGTATAGTGAAATTACACAGTGGGCAGTTGTGAAATTGAGTCCCTGAAGTAAAATGTCACATACAGTCCAAAGAAGTTTCAAGTCCTACATACCCGAAATACATGTGTCTATGTTTGTGTAAAATTTATACTCCAACCTTGGAAATGATAGCCATTTCTTCAGTTGAGCACTGGACACAACTGTCAGTTCATACAGAAGGACCAAGCTGTGTGAAAAGTGTGTCTCTAAACCCTAGGCTCACACACAGCACACCATGTTGATGACTTAAGATCACTAAGGAAGTGAGTCTTCTTCACACTACACTCACCTTGGCTAAGAGCCTAGGCCACTTGAGTGAATACTAGAGGCAAGTCTACATTATTATAATTCTCACTTTTTTATTACATTGTTTGATAAGTACATAGAGTTGAATTTGTACCTGCTGAGTATACACACCCAAGGAAGATGCCACTATATTCAAAATTACTGACAGGCAATATAATCTGAGCATATAATCAAGAGAATTCTGTTACAATTCTATCAGAAAATTATGCTGAGTACTACAAATGATTTCCCTAGTTCCAACTTACTTATTTAAAAACAAAATGCAACCATATATAGGGATCTGTGTTTGATAAGTTTGATGTTCAGTTGAATTACTAACTTTAATGTGCTAAAATAGCACAATTCTTGAAGCCAATGCTAGTAAGTGAAATAAATATTCTAAACAGAGAAAAACCAAACAAGTGCAGGTCTTTTCAGTAACTTGGTCTGGCCTCTACAGAATATTTTTTGCATAAAAAGTTAAACGGGCTGGTGGAGTGGCTCAGGTGGTAGAATGCCTGCCAAGCAAGCATGAAGCCCTGAATTCAAATCCCAGTACCCAGTATCACAAAAAAAAATCAAAAAGTTAAACAGTACTAGAGGCGTGGCTCAAGTGCTACAGCACCTGCCTAGCAAGTTCAAACCCCAGGACCACACCAAAAAAAAGTTAAACAGAGGTAAACAAGCAAATGCTTTCTAGAGCAAAAACCAAGTAGCATGCCCCAGGGGCAACATTAAACGCAGAGGGTTTAAATGTTTTCCGACTTTGGTTACCATGTTGGCAATAACTTTTTTTTTTTTTAAAGAAATAGAACTTACAAACTCTCTCTCTCTCTGATGTTTTTCATCAGCTTCTTTTATCAGCTGTGTCGTTTGCTGCAGTTTGGCGTCCACAAGCTGTTGTTGCAGCTCCTTGTGTTTGAATACTTTATCAATATGCTATGGGAAGAGCAAAATTCCTTCCATCACTTCATGAAAAAAGGAGCACGGTGGGGAGGAAACATAACACCAGCTACAACAACCTGCTTGTCTGCTTTGCTGGTAAAATACCACAACAGCTAAGAACGCTAAGTCTTTCTGCCCCTGCACTTGCAGAAGTGAACAGAATGATACAACACCTTGCATTTACTTTAAAACAATGCAAGGGGAATTGCTTAAGCCAGGTAATAGATTCTCTAATTTTTTTAAGTTACCAATTTTTCATAATAATTTTCTTTTTTAAAAAAGCAAAACTTGCTAGGGGTAAAGTTTAGTAGTACAGCACTTGCCCAGTATGCACAAGGCCCCGGGTTCCATCCTTAGCACTGAAAAAATGAAATAATTAAATGTGGTGAGTGAAAAAAAAAAAACCCACCAATTTTTGAAGTGCTATATGTAAAACTATAGATTAATATAAAGTTTGAGTTGCAAACCATGAGGATTTCGAGCTCAAGGCCAGACTGGGCTAAAAGTGACACTCTATCTCAAACAAAACAAGGGGCTGGAGGTGTAACAAAACAAAACAAAAATCAAGGGGCTAGAGTATAGCTCAGTGGTAGAGTACATGCCTAGCATGCACAAAGCCTTTGGTGTGTTCCCAGAAGCAAAAAATAAAAAAATAAGGCTGGGGATGTAGCTCAGGGGTAGAAAGCGCCCCTAGCATATCCAAGGACTTGGGTTTGATCCCCCAACCATTGCAAAAAACTAAATATTTGCCAGATGCAGTCACTCAAACCTGTAATCCTAGCTACTCAGGACACAGAGATCAGGAGGATCAAGGTTCGAGGCCAGCCTGGATAAAGTTTGAGTGACCCCCATCTCAACCAATGGCTGGGTGCAGTAATATACACCTATCACTCAAGCTATGCAGAAAGCACAAATAAGAGAATTGTGGTCCAGGCAGGCCTGGGCATAAAGCAAAACCCCATCTCAAAAGCAAGCAACACAAAAAGGGGTATCGGAGTAGCACAAGTGGTAGAGGCCGACTTGCAGGGCATGACTTGCACATGCCTATTGTCCTACTAACTTAGGAGACTGAGGCAGAAGGATCCCTTGAGCCCGTGAGTTCAAGATCAGCCTAGGCAACAAGAAAGACCCCATCTAAAAAAATAAAGAAAAATCTGAAACATACATACTATGCAAAGGTAGTGGACAGTGTACAGATTATCATAGATGTCTGAGATACAGAGTTATTTGAGGGTCAAATTTCTTCCTTAAATAGTCTAGATAAGGAAGATAGTCTGTATGTGAAAACTGCTATCTTCCGGTATCACATGGAGGATAGATAAGTAGTACTTGACAAGTCTCCTAGAAATTAATTTCACCTAGCTAAATCCACAGCTTCCTGGGCCACTGAGTGAGATCCCAATTAGTCTACCTGGTCCTGTGAGGCCTAATGCTTTTCTAATAAATAACCAAGTTCCACTATGCATACAAAGAAACTGTGAAACACCCTGCGTCAATAGTTCTGCTACAGCAGTGAATGGGAAGGTTTGTGTTAATGGTGAAGCTGCCTAAACCAAATGAGCACTGTTACCTCTTCCCTCAGTGCATACTGTTCAATGAGCTTCTTCAGCTTCTCCCCCAGCTCGATGTTCTCCTGTCGGAGTTTGGCATTGTGTATGTCATGCTGTTCCAGCTGGGTCTGGATTTCATTTAGAGTAATCTGGAAATGTGCCGTTGCTTCTTTACGCCGCTCTTCTTCCTCTCGTGCCTGCTGCATATTTTCCTCCTTAATTCCCAAAATAATTCATTAATAATGTAGCTCTATAGACAAGCTGCCCACAAAAGAAGCTGTTGCAAAGCAGGTGCATTACTGCTGCCCTGAAATGCTGCTTCTGAGGTACAGTTCCTCTTCCTTAATTATGACCAGAAGGCTCTCCTTTGAAAGCAAGGCACTTTTCCCAAATAATCCGAGGCACAAACTGTCCTGCTTGTATTATTCTAAGTGTGATATGACTGTCTAAAGTCCACTGTGTTGAAGTACAAGGAAGGGGCTTCTCCACGCCACCAGTTCTCTCCTCTCTGTTCATGCAGAGCATCATCTTGTATCAGCCTGAGCAGAGAGAGCCCCTTCTGCGGTTACTTTTTGGGTTACGCTTTCACTGCGAGAGGGCAAGGGGCAAATGGACCCCTTACTTTAAAAAGCTTATATTCAGGAGCAAGTGCATGGCTCAAGCGGTAAGAGTGCTTGCCTAGCAAATGAGAGGCCTTGAAATCAAACCCCAGTACTGCCAAAAAACAAAACAAAATAAGTTAATTTAAAAAATTTAAAGTTTACATTCAACTCTTGCTAGGATACATGCGTCAAAAGACCTTTGTATGTCTAAACAATATCAATCCACTTGAAATTATTTGTTATGGGGGGAGGGGGAGACCAGCACCTACATTAAGATCTAAATACAAGGGTTCAAAAGAAGAAAATGATGGCAGGATTGGAGGCGTGGTTCAAGTTGTAGAGTATCTGCTTTTCAAATGTGAGGTCCTGAAAGCCCTGAGTTCAAACTCCAGTCCAACCAAAACAAACAAAAACCAGAAAATGATGTCGAATCATTGGTAAAGATTCATTTCACAAATGCTGCTATACCTAAGGCCTTGGGGTTTTGTTGGGGGGGAGGGGTATTCAATCCGAGATCCTGCTCAAAGTCCTACAGCACTGTACACAAGGAAGGGCAGGCCAATCCCACTGTAAAAGGCAAATTCCTTCCCATGGCTCTGCTCTTTTCCTTCTTCTCCTGCAGATACCAATTCATCTTTGGGTACTTACTCACTCTTGCTTTATAATTGGTCAGTGTTAAATGCTACAATCAAAGTACTTAGCAACCAAGAGCTGGAGGTGGGCCAGAGGACTCAGGCAATGCAGCCCTAACATCTACCTGAGAGCTCAGGAGTTCTCATTTCTCAGACTCACTGGTTCAAGTTCAAGTCTCTCACTAGTCTCTCATCTCACAGCAGCTTTGCACACATGGTTATCAGCTACATTAGAGCTCAGCAAAAAACTGACAAGCTGGCTTCTTAAGGCATAGCTTTAAGCAAGAGAGTCTATATCAGTCCCATATAGACTCCCTGTGACCAAGTATGACCACGTATGAGGGAACTAGGGAACCCTCTCTTGAACTGAAACCAAAACAGAAAGAAGGTCTTATCTCTGTCTCTAATCAGAGACACAGATTTATTTAAATAGGTACAAGGTCATTATAAAACCAGCTGATTAAGTTTTCCTCCTGCAAAAAAACAGAAAAATGAACCAACTAACCTTTAAGGTCTTATTGTGACGCTGGAGTTCCCTGCAAAGAGACTCCAGTTTGCTTCTTGCCAAGATAGCTTTGCTGTGTTCACTCTGCAAGTGAACTTTCTCTTTCACAATCTGGGCTTGCTTCTTCTGTAGAATCTTCATTTGCTTCTGAACATTTCTGCTTTCCTCCAGCTAAAATTAACAAGCACTTTACATTTAGGAAGTACAGCAAAAACCTCAGAGTTATGACTGGAAGAGTTACAGCGGGAGATACACAGTATTTGAAAAGCCAAATACACCAGGGGCTGGGGCTGTAGCTCAGAGTAGAGGGCTTGCCTAGTATGAACAAAACCCCTAAATTCCATTCCTGGCACAGCCAAAACAAAAAAAAAGCCAAATAATGTACTTGAGCATTTTATGTAAATAATTTCGTGCCATGTGACACTGCCAACCTGCTCTCTGCTCTACTTGTAAGAGGAAAACAAGCAAATTTTAGGTGTGTGGAAAAAAAATGACCTTAGATCTCTTTTGCTTTTTACTTCTTTATGTCCTTTAGAGATATTTAATTTCAGTACAACCTTTACCATCCAAGTTTTATAAAAGAAGTTTAAGAGCCCAGAGACATTAATAAGTTGCCTAAGATTGCAAAATTGGTAGGGAGGTGAGGATTCAAACCTCAAAACCTACACCATCAGCTTCCTCGCCTTCCACACTGACTTGGGGTCCCAGATTTGTCACCTTGCTGCAATGCTAAGGCTAATCACAGCTCTTCTTCCTTGTTCCAACTCAGTACCTCACAGGCAATATAGGCTCCTCAATTTCCAGGTATAAATAAAAGCCTGTGTTTTGAACTGATGATACGCTTCAGCTGAACATTTCCTGTCTGAGAAGTTTCCTAAGGCCCACTGGCAACACTTCCCACGTGTTTTGACCTTAACCCTTTGGAAAATGAACTAACTCCTGCTCTAGCTGAAACCTTCTCCAATGCTGAAGGCCAGGACTAACCTAGTTGCAAGGCCAGACCTGTCCTGAATTGCTGTTTGGTGGGTGAGTATCTTTCTACAGTATTTTCTGCCTGTTAAAAGACTGGCTGAAATCCAATATAAAATATGGGTTTATTGTGCTCTTTATTTTCTGATTTAAAAAAAAATAAGCTAAAATTTTAGGAACCAATACTGAGTTTTATTTTTCTAAAATAACAACCAGAGGCTACAGTGCTGAATTTAGAATGCAGTAAGCAGCACTCAAGAGTTCTTTGTGACTGTGAATTGCTGCAATTTTAGGTTTAAAGCAAATGAATCTATTTGAAAGTTAAATCAACACGAACAGATAAGATGGCAGCTGTACTGACCTTTCTGTATACCTTTTAGTGAACAAGGAAATGATGCTGAGTCATAATTTAAAGACCAAGAGTGCCATCTTGTGGCTTATCAAAACACACCAAGCACCCTTACAGACAATCTGCTTACAGGTATCAGAACACTTTTATTGAGCTGGATGTGGTGATAAGCACCTATAATTCCAGGGAAGCTAAGGCAGGAGGATCATGAGTTTGAGGCCAGTCTGGGGTACATATTTTGGAGATGGGGGTCTCAGGAACTATTTGCCCAGGCTGGCTTCAAACAGCTATCATCCTGATCTCAGCCTTCCAAGTAGCTAGGATTATAGACATGAGCCTCCAGCGCCTGGCCTTTTATTCTTGATACTAAACCTTCTGTTGCTTGTATTTGTTGGAAATATGTTCTCCCTAGTTGGTAATGCTTTCTTTTAAGGAATTTTCTGATGAAGAGCAGTCTTAACTTCAACATAAAGGCTATTTGTACATTCTTTTCTCTGACAGTAGTTTCATGCTTTAAGAAAACTTTCATTAACCCAAGATTAGAAAAATATTTACCTATTAGTGAATCTAAATACCTAAAAATGTTAAGGCTTAACTTTTGACATTTAAGCCCTTAATCCTCTTAGAACTGACAGTCACATATAGTATGTGAGGAAGAACTAATTTCATTTTTCCCATAAGGATAATGCTGTTTTTTTCTGTCACTATGCTGTCCAGGCTGGCCTCAAGTCCTGAGCTCAAGCCATCCTCCTGCCTCAGCTTCTCCAGTGGCTGGAGCAATAATTGCACGCCACTGCGCCTAGCTAGAGGATAACGGTTTCTAAATTCTATTCATATCAGGAGCATGGCATTCTCCCCTAAATGCATCTATGGGTTCCATGAAGTGCTCCTTTGAAATCCCCAAAGGGAGGATCACCTAAACCCAGGAGTTCAAGAACCAACCTCAGTAATATGGCAAGAAAACATTTCAAAAAAAAAAAAAAAAAAAGGTGTTTTCAATCCTAGCTACTCAGGAGATAGAGATCAAGGAGGCTCATGGTTTGAAGACAGCCCTGGACAAACAGTTCACAAGACCCTACCTCAAAAAAAACCCATTACAAAAAAAGGGCTGGAGTAGAGGCTCAGGCCTAAGAGCGCCTGCCTAGCAAGCGTGAGGTCCTGAGTTCAAACCCCAGTGTTTTCTTTCCCCATGGAACTACTAAGTTGAATTTAAGATTTATAGAGAGTAAAGGGCCATGAACAGCCAATATACTTCTGATAAAAAGAGTAAGGAGGAGGATATGCCTACCCAATCATAGTTATTATTACACTATAATAACCTAAACAAAGTGGCTATGGAATGGAAAAGAATAACAATGTAAAATACTTAAGGATCACGTTAACGGTACCCACACCCAAAACAAAATCCTATGATTTCTTGAACCTATGTGCTCTGGTGAACATGGTGGCAACAAGACCTCCTCAATGGATGACCCCAGTCACACTACACAGAACTCCATTCCACCTGCTCCACAGAACAATTCTGCCCATCAATGTGGCACAGTGATGATACAAAATGATGATGTCACAAAAGGACAGGCACAGCATGGCAAATGGGAAGTTTCTGGGATCCCCAGGAAAAGGCTACTCCCTTGGTGATCTTGCTGCTATGTAACCTATGCATGGTCTACCTTTTAAATGGAACAAGTGTGTTTCAAGAAATAAAGCTTTTGAGCTTTTTTCTGAAAACAAAATTTTTTCAGCACAAATCTATGACAGAGACAGATTATTCACTAGACAAGCCTTCAATGTGAAGAGTAAAATAAATCATAAAATGAATCCAGTGATTAGTACTAGTACTTAACAATGACCACATCCACACACAACAACAAAAGCCACCAACTAAAACACCCAGGACCCTTGCTACTTTAAAGTTTGATCTGAGGTTTGGCAGTAGCTTCCAGAAGCTTACTAAAATGCAGACTCACAGGCCCGAACCAGACCTAGTGAACCACAATGTGCGTTTTAACAAAAGCCCCAAGTGACTATCTGCTCTATCTTCTAATTCATTCATGGCTGTTTTCTGCTTTTGTTTCACTGGGTCAGGTAATTACCTTTCCACAGTTTCTTTCTTTTCTGGCAATTTCTTTCTTTTCCTATTTTTGTTCTTATCCTCTTCCCACCACTTCTTGCATAACTTTTCTCATGTGAATGGCACCAACAGGGACTGGCCTCCATAGCAATGGAAGCATTCCTTTCTGAAAGCCACCAAAAATTGTGTTTTCCACCATTTCATTTGTGACTCTTCTGGGCCACCTTAAGTGATGCACAGGATTTTCTCCTGCTCCAAAAAGTGGAAGATAGCCAGACTGCTGAAAGTAAGCTAAATAGGATAGACCAGCACACTACTTTATAAACTGAGGGGTAGGGTTGTAGATTAAAAAACACAGCTGAGGGAATGTAACTGTCATTCTTTGAGTAATAACATCCTGGATGAAAAGTTCTCGAGACCCCAGCTCAGCCAATAAAAAGTTGGTGTAGTGGCACACACCTGTCGCCCTAGCTGTATAGGAAGCATAAATAGGAGGATCACAGTCCAGGCCAGCATAGGCATAAATGTGAGACCTTATCTTCAAAATAACAAATTACAAAGGGCTGGAGGCGTGGCTCAAGTGATAAGAGTGCCTGCCTTGCAAATGAGAGGCCCTGAGTTCAAACCTCAGCACCATGAAAAAGGAAAGAAAGGAAAAAAGTTGTAGTTTGTAAATAACTGCTCTAAGAGATGAAAATGAGTAAAAATTGTAAATAATTCACCTAAGTATTTCACAGAGGGCAATAACTTTAGCATTATATTAGAACCATTTATTGTAGAAGTTTTCCACAACCTTTTCAAAAGGTTTCATGACCTTCCCTTTCTTATTTATGTATTTTGGTTGAGACAGGGTCTTGCTACAGCTCAGGCTGGCCTTGAACTCTAGATCCTTCTGCCCCAGCCTCCCAAGTGCTGGATTACAGATATGTGCCACCATGCCCAGCTTAACTTTTCCATTCTTTAATTTAAACAAGATGGCAAGGTTTCACAGAAACTGCTCTCATAATTCCAAAAGATAATTAAAGCTACTTGAAATAATGTAGGCCCAGAACAAACTTTGATGAGGTTAATTCTTCAGAAGAAAGACAAAAGAATATTTGGCAACTAGTGGATACTAAATAAATAGTTCCTGAGACAAGACACAGTATTGTTTTATAGACCATTCCATCTAACTCACAACTCCAGTCAAAATGGTTAGGGTCTTTGTCTATAGAATTCTCTAGAAAAAGTTAAAGACGGGAACCACTGCACCTCAACTGACTGGCAGCTAGGGCACAGGCATCATAACACTGCAATGAAGGGGCTGACTTAAGAGCTCTAACGCTGAGTTTCAGAAAATCTGTGCCAGCCAGGTGTGGTGGCACACACCTATGGTTCCAGCTACTCCGGAGTAGGAAGAAGGAAATCTTGAGCCCAGGAGTTGGAGACCAGCATGGCCAACAAAGCCAGACTCCTTGTTGAATGCGGGAGAGGAACACATCATCTATAAAACAGCTTAACATTATATGTTCTCTATAAGTTATCTTTATCAAATGAAATTACATAACCAACAAGTCCTGAGAAATCAGATTCTCCCCTTAAGTTTTGGAATAAAATTGAAGTTTACATTTTAAAGTTTCATCAAAATTGTATTTTCAAAAGCTTATCACACACACACACACACACACACACACACACACACACGTCCTTCTGTAATTTACATAGCCCTCACACCCTTGATTTAATACTCACGAGATCAGCATATTTCTTACAGAGAGCTGCCAGCTTCTCCTCTGGGGTTGAAAGGGTGTTTAGGGCTTGCATCAGTAATAAAACTTCTTTTCCTAATGATTAATAAGATAAGAAATAAGTCCCCAAAGAAAAATGAGAACAAATCTAACCTGTGAATTCTAGTAATACTTTCCATGTTCTAAAATCCAGAGCAAAGTAATTTACACCTAAAACTAGAAATGCGATGTTTACCAGCTCAATTAAGAAAGCTATTTTGCATGCAGGAGGTATGGTAGAGCACATGCCTAGGATTTGATCTCCAGCCCTGGGGGATGGGGATGAGGAGGAAAGCTATTTTTAAATTCTGGAATAGCAGGTTCCCCTCCACTCCACTCCCCATTCCAACTCCTTCACTAACATGCCTATTTGTAAGTACTCTTATTGAATGCTTAAAAATTCCCTTGCCTAACCACTGATGTCCAAGTTAAGACAAAAGGCAAATTACAAAGGGCAGAGAATATTTTTTAAAGCTTCCTCCTAACCAAGTACAAAAAGCAAGTTCAAAGGGATTCGGGTGGAACTTCACTTTGCCTACCTAAAATGCACATTCACACTGGTGACACATTATCCTTTTTATGAACAATTTCAGTAACTTATTTTCTGGTGATTTACTAAACACATTCCTGGTGTTAACCAAGGCTAGCACAAATAAAAGAATAGCAAGATAACTCTATCTTGGGGGAAAGAGCTTAACAACATTATTTTAAGGACTTTGGCAGGAAAAAGCAGGAGATACAAGGGGACAATGTTTCAAAACAAGTGATAGTTTTATTTTTTTAAGCTGGGTGATAGGTACCATTTTTATTCTTATAAATATTCACTCTTACATATAAGATATTTCATTAAAATATACAGTAAGCCCATCTTATCCACACATTTATTACATGGAGTTTTGACCAAACGCAGTTAAAAATACCAAATTTTTTCTGAAAAATCAAAAGAAATTTCAAAAGCAAGAATTTTTAATTCCCACAGCTCATCTGGTGCAGACAAGTTCCATGTAATCGTCAGTAGTGTTTAAATTGTTGTGCTCTGCTGAATGCTTCCCTGTGCTTAATTTTGGGAAATCTGCCTCCTACAAAGCAAATGATATCCAAAAAAAGCAAGGTATAAGTTAAGATGCTTAATATAATAAAGTAAACTATTTTAAGATTTGTGAAAGGCAGCATGTCTTCAGTGCAAGTTGGAAAAATAGGAATCAAGCATCCATAGTACAGCACTGAACTCTATGCATCCTGTGTGGGTTTTTCTCAATAGTGTGCTCCTTAGAACCACAGACCTGCAAATACCAAAGTTCTACTGTGTATCTTAAAATGATTTTGATATTTGGTATATCGACCCCTATGGGGAAAAAAAGCAGGCTGACTTTAAAAAAAAAAAAAACCTTTTCAGGCTGAACACAATGGCTCGAGCCTATGATCCCAACAAGAAGCTGAGTCAGGAGGAACCCTTGAGCCAAGGATTTCAGGGCAACACAGTAAGACCGTATCTCAGACATAACAAAACAGAACCAAAAAACTTTCCTGCCCACATAAAACTGTATCAATGAAACCTTCTTTCATTTAGCCCAAGACCAGTAACACTGAGATGATCAAACATGACTACTGAATATGATCAGAAATAACTGTGATGTAACTTACAATTTTATGCAGATTTTTAAACTCAAACTTTTTTTGTTTTGGTTTTTACGGTGCTGGGGTATTTGTTTTTGAGACAGAATTTGCACAGTGTATGACTCACCTTTCTTTTTCCTTTATTTTTTGCGGTACTGGGGTTTGAACTCAAAGCCTTGCACTAGCCTGTTTATTTATTTTTAATTTTATTTTTTATCTTTGCAAGTAATGTTGTCAAGCTGGCCACAAATTCCTGGGTCAAGCAATCTTCCTGACACAGCCTCCCATGCATCTGGGACTAAAGGCTCTCACTTCACACCTGGCTAAAATTTACTTTTTAAAGTGTACAATTTAGAAGGGCGCTGGTGGCTCACGCCTGTAATCCTAGCTACTTGAGAAGCTGAGATCAGGAGGATTGAGGTTTGAGGCCAGCCCAGGCAAACAGCTCATGAGACTCTCATCTTCAAAATGGATTGGTTTGTGGCTCAAGCAGTAAAACACTAGTTTTACAAGCAAGAAACCATGAGTTCAGACCCCAGGTCCACTAAAATAAATAAACTAATTAAAATGTAGTATATTCACAAGGTTGTATATCCATCACCACTATCTAACTCCAGAATTTTTTGCACAACCCCTAAAAGGCTGGCTTCTTTCACTTTGCAAAATGTTTTCTGAGGTTTTTCATGTAGGATATATCAATGCTTCACTCCTTTTTATGGCTGCGTAACACACCACCATATGGATAGATTGTACTTTATCCATTCATTATCCAGTGTTCTTTCCACTTTTTAGCTATTATGAATAATGCTGCTATGAGCATCTGTGTACAAGCTTCTGTGTGGACAATTTTTCAATCCTCTTGAGTATATGTACCCACAAGTAAAATTGCTTGATCAACAGTAACATAAAGTGTTGCTTTTAAGACTATCTGCTTTTGTAAATATAACTGGAGCTATTAAAAAATATGTCTTGTTTGCAAGGAATTACAATTTTCAAATTCATATAATATTGCACATTTTGCAGATTAATTTAATAAGGAAGATATTCCAACTTAACATTCATGTACAAAACTATACAAATCAAACACTGTAAATCTTAGGTAAAGTAAGGATAAAAAAGTGAGGGCAGTCAGGGTCTGGTGGCTCACACCTGTAATCCTAGCTACTCAGGAGGCAGCGATCAGGAGGATCATGGTTCAAGGCCAGCCACAGGCAAATAGTTCATGAGACCCTATCTGAAAAAATACCCAACCCAAAAAAGGGATGGCAAGTGGTTCAAGTGTTCAGAGCACCTGCCTAGCAAGCATGAAGTCCTGAAGTCAAAACCCCAGTGCCATATAACAAAACAAAACAAAACAAAACAAAACAAAAAAAAAAAACCCAAACCCCAATACTGTCCCCAAAAAACCTAAACAAACTGAGGAGCAAGACTAAAAAGGGGATTCAAATTTCATTCAGAAGATTCAGTGTATCACATTTTTGGTCTAAACTGCAAACTACACAGCAGGAGAGAGAAATGCATCCTTGAGAACTGGTCAACTCACTGTACTACAGATATTTTGATGTCTTTTAAAAGTTTTCTGCCTAGTCTTTAAATAAACTCATCAAATAAATACAGTTCTCACATAAATTTTGAGCAGGTTATAATAAAGATTCAAACGAGGCAAGTCAAATACCACTCCCTTGTCAAGTTGGCTCCAAATTTTTTAAAGAAAGCTCTTATTAATTATTTATTTTGTGGTACTGGAGTTTGAACTCAGGGCCTACACCTTGAGCCACTCCACCAAACCTTTTTTGTGAAGGGTTTTTTCGAGATAGGGTCTCACAAACTATTCGTCTAGGCTGGCTTTAAACCCCAATTCTCCTGAGTAGTTCAGGTAGGATTATAGGCATGAGCCACTGGAGCCCAGCTAATTCTTAATTTTTAGAGATATAATTGGGTTTCCTACTTTGCTACTTCTACCTCCTGCACATAACTCCAGGAGACATGCAGACCGACCTCGCCATAGACAACAGGTGCATTAGTTAAACACTTCCAAACTGGCCATGTTGATGGCCACCTGTGCTGCAAACATTATGAGTAAGATGGGCAGTACGTGAAAATGTGCGACCAAGGAGCAGAGATTATTACCTAAGGTTTTCTCTTTGTTACTGCTGCACTCTGAATCTTGCTGACCATCAGGGGGACCTGTTCGAGCTTCTCGCCCAGGAATTTCCTCTCTTGACTCCTGGGTGCAGTACGCTGGAGTCACCAAATTCCTGTTCTTTCTTATAAAGTCACTGCCTTCATCCCCTTCTAGTGAATGCTTGGTAGTCATGCCACCACAGCTGGAGTCTTGATGTTGAAGAATATCATTTGACTGAGAGTTACACAACACATCTGCTTTCACCCCAAGTCCACAAATTGCAGCTTCTTCCATTGTGCCAATTTCAAACTAGAGGGAAGAAGAGAAAGATGGAAGGAGTTAAATCAAATGTAAGTCTTATTTATAACCAATGGCACATCATACCTTCACAGCTTTTTCTTTCTATAGTGGTTTGCGAAGCTGATGTGAATATGGCAGCTTCTAAGTTTCATTGAGAAGTGACTTAACTGTTAAGTGAATGGATATTAAAGTTAAAACAGAGCTGGGGATAGAGCTCAGCGGTACAGCACTAGCCTAGTATGCATAGGCCTCTGGATTCTACCCCCGACACAACCCCAAAAGATGAAATAAGTCAATCATGCAAAAAAGTAGTACCAAAGGAGGCAAGAAATGCAATTTTTAGTTGCAAATCTAGACTTACTTCCCTATAAAAATCCGCCACTTAGGGCTGGTGGAGTGGCTCAAGTAGTAGAATGTCTGCCGAGCAAGCATGAGGCCGAGTTCCAACCTCAGTGCCACCAAAAAAAAAAAAAAAACCCCACAACAAAAACCTAAATTGTCACAAGTTAATCTACATTAATTATTCTGGTCTTATCTTCATGGAGATGGCTACCTGGCTATCCATGAAAACCTAGTTCCTCCTATATCCAGTGAACTGGCACTGCAGGACAAGTGCCCAGCCAGGACTACACTTCCCAGCCTTGGCATCTAAGTGGGACTCGCATGTGAGACTCCCACCAATGGAATGTCAGCAGAGGTGCTGAAGGTCCCTTCTGCACCCACATTTCCATTCTCAGAAGCACATGTTCTTTCTGCACTGTCTCTTCTCCATTCTGGCTAAATTCAGAGGTCACCAAGACACTACAGGATGACAGGGCCAGAAGACGTAAAGCAGCCTGCACCCTTAAATCCAAGGTACATACAGGAAAGTCATACTACCCTAGAAAGAAAACCCACACCAGCCTATTAGATGAACATCTAATAAACTTCCCTTGTGTTAAGCCACAGAAATTGAGACTCATATTTTAATTTTCCCTGCCCTGAATATAGAAGGTATGTACAGTAAAGATGCCTTTATTCCAGTGGAGGTTTTTCCTGCTTGAGTAATTTTACCTTAACTCTCTAATCTCTAATACTGTTAACCCTGTTTTATTTCTTTTTTGTTTTTTTTTTGAGACAAGTGTTCATTATGTAGCCCAGGCTGGCCTCGAACTCACAATCCTCTTGCTTCAGCCTTCTGAGTGCTCAGATTAAAGGAGTAGGCCATCATGCCCAACTAACCCTATTTATATAGGTGGCATTTTCCCCTTTGTGAATACTTGCTCATATGATGTATATTTACAAATAAAAATTCTGTGCATCCTCTTTGAAAGATAGCTTCTTTCTTTCTGAATAATACAACTGATATAGAAGGTGTATAAAGTCCTTGTCTTATCACAAGTGAGCAAAAGCTACTTTCATCCTAGTTACTTGGGAGGTAGAGACAGGAGGACTGCAGTTCTAGGCCAACCTGAGCAAAAAGTTAGGAAGGCCTCATCTCAAAGAATGAGGCAAGTATAGTAGTTCACACTTGTAATCACAGCTACAAGGGAAGGAGAGGTAGGAGGATGGAGGTCTGAGGCTAGCACTGGAAAAAAGGACAAGATCCTATCTGAAAAATAACTAAAACAAGCCAAAAAACAAACAAAAAAAAAGGGCTGGGGGCATGGCTCAAGTGGTAGAGCACAGGTTTAGCAAGCATGAGTCTGAGTTCAAACCCCAATACTGCCAAAAAAAATTAAAAATTAAAAATAATGGGATAGCAGAGATTTATCTTGTCAACTTATAAGCATATGCAACTGAATAAAAATAATGTAAAGTATCAGAGCAGGACGTGATGGAGCGGAGAGATTAAGGAAACTAAAATCTTATATCCCACATAGTCTAATGGTCACAAGTGGTTTTGAAAGAACTGGCACTGCCACTTTGGAAACCTCTTTGGCAATAGGGATGCCTTCTAACCCAGTTAACTCTACTCCTAGGATTCTACCCAAGTATGTACATATGTGCACCCAAAGGCCAAGCAATGTTTAAAGAGATGCTATTCACAATGGCCCAAAAATGCAATCACCTCAAGTTTCTGTGACCCGAAGAATGGGTAAGCTGTACTATGTTCCCCGTATCCAGCAACGACAATGAAGTACTGCTGGCTGCAGCAACACGGATGAGTCTCCCAGGCCTAACATGAGGACAGTGCCCAAAGAGTATGTTCTGTAGGGAAACCACATGTACCTAAAAACATCCCAGCTACCTAAATGGTGATACAAATCAGGATTGGCACCATTGGGGCAGGGCCTTCCAGAGTGCTTGGTAATATTCTATTTCTTTTGGTTTTTTGGTGGTACTGGGTTTTGAACTCAGAGCCTTGCACTTGCTAGGCAGGCGCTCGACCACTTGAGCCACACTGCCAGCACAGTACTATTCTATTTTTGAATCTATGTGGGATAATACAGATGTTCACTTTATAAAAATTCACTTAAAAAAAAAAATATATATATATATATATTTATAAATTCACTAAATCCAACCCTTAAGATTTTTATACAATTTCTGAATCTTTTATTTCAACAAGGTTTATGTTAAAAGTTGTGACTTACACATTACTTGGGAGTTCTAAAGAACAAAACAAATTATTTTCCTCTAAGAAGAGAGATTAAAGATATGTGGAAATCGGCAGAGGGTGTGAATTCAAGTATGGTATATTTGCTACATTATAAGAACCTTTGTAAATGCCACAATGTCCCCCCACTCAGCATAATAATAATAATAATAATAAGACATGTTGCTTTTTGGAGGCTGGGGAGTACCTCAGTGTATAGAGCGCTTGCCTAACATGTGTGAGGTCCTAGGTTCCATCTCCTGCACAACAACAACAAAAAAAAAATGTCGCTTTTTGTGGGTCTTTTTTTAAGATAACATACATGAAATATTTTAATTTCTTTACAAATTAATCCTGTTTTCTTTTGTTCTGCTTTTTGGGACTGGGACCCACACTGGCCTTGATCTCCCAATCCGCCTGTCTCAGCCTCCCCAGTGCTGGGATTACAAGTATGCACCACCATGCAAATAATCCTTTAAAGATCCTTTAAAGAGGAAATGGTTTTTCTGCTTTCAGAGTTATGATTTGATGCTATACTCTAAACCTAATTCAGATAGGAAAAACATACAAAGTAATACTGAAAGACTCTTAAAATCTTTGGAAAACTCTAATTTACTTAATATGGAACATATCCCTTAGGGCAATGTTTCAAGTATAATAAATAAGTTTTATTTTAAAAACTCAAAATAAAAAAACCCCATACAACAAAGTTTTAAGAAACATCATTTCACTAATGCAGAAACTCAGTGATTAATGTGCCCAAATACCATACTAGACACATTACTATCAACAAACAGGATGCAAAGTGATCATTTTAATGTTATATTATACTTCACTAGTTTGATCTCTGCTTTATATCAAATATTAAACTGCCATATTCTAGTTGGGCACATGGATAATGTTAACAGAAAACCTTTACAGAGAAATCCATAAAGAGAGAAAATTTGGGAAGATACCATCTTCCCAAATTTTTTAAATTAATCTTAAAATATCTTCCAGACTGGGGGTGTAGCTCAGTGGTAGAGAGCTTGCCTAGCATGTGTAAGGCCCTGGGTTTGATTCCCACTACTGAAGGGAAAAAAAAAAGATTTAGCTGTTAAGTTTGTGTCATTAGCGTATGGAAGTGTGGCTCAAGCAGTAGAGCGCCTGACTAGCTAGCATGAAGTGCTGAGTTCAAACCCTAGTATAGGGAAAAAAAAAATCCCTGAAAACCATTAGGTGCAAGAATGGAGTTACAAAGTCAAGGCACACACCTATACTTCTAAGAGGACTGCTTGAGCCCAGGAATTCGAGGCCACCAGCCTGGGCAACATGGCAAGACCTCATTACAAAATCACTTTGGCCTCAAATAGTATTAGTGAAAGTCTATTAAAGAATCACTTGCTGGGCTGGCAGAGTGGCTCAAGTGGTAGAGTGCCTGCTTAGCAAGTGTGAGGCCCTGAGTTCAAATTCCAGTACTGCCAAAAAAGATCACTAAAACAAAACACAGTGCTTATCTGTAACACATGCCTAGAATTTCTCAGGCGTGTAAATAATGTTTATAGCCACACAAACCCAGAAAACATCTTGTCAAGCCACATCAAAAATACAGCGAGCTGCCTGTAATCCTAGCTACTTGGGAGGCAGGCAAATAGTTTGCGAGACCCTGTCTTGAAAATACTCAACACAGGGCTGGCTGGTGGAGTAGCTCAGGCAGTAGAGCACTTGCCTAGCAAGTATGAGGCCGGGGCAGGGGTAACACATTTATCAGAAGAAGGAAGAGTACAGTAACTTTTACCAAGAAAAACCTTAAGGTCTCCACAAACATCCATCTTAATAACAAAGCCACCTGAGGAATTAAACTTGTATTTTTTCATTTCCATTAGTGATTTTATGGTGACACCTGTATTGAGACATAATTCATGTATCATACAATTTGCTTAAAGTTTATAACTCACTAGTTTTTAGTGCATTCAGAGTTGTACAACTACCACAATCAATTTTAAAACACTTGTCACCTCACAAAGAAACCTTGTCCCCTCTAGTTGTCAACCCTTAATTCTCCTCATTGTCCCCAGCCTTAGATAACTAATATAGATTTGGCTGTACTGGACATCTCTTTCTCTCTCTTTTTTTTTTCAGTACTGGGGATTAAACCCAAGGTCTCAAGCACTCTGCCACTTCAGCCCTTTTGTATTTATTTTGGTTTTGAGACACAGTCTTGCTAACTTAGCCGAGGCTGGCCTTGAACTTTCAACCCTCTTGCTTCCACCTCCCAAGTAGCTGGGATTACAGGCACACACCACCTCACCTGGCATATTCTGGACATTTCCTATAAATGGAATCAAATTTTGCATCTGGCTTCTTTCACTTAGCATGCTTTCAAGGTTTACCTATGTTGTGCCATGTATCAGTACTTTCCTCCTAATGGCTGTATGGATATACCACATTT